GGCTGAGGAAGGAGGATCCATGTGAGTTTGAGATCAGCCTGGGCTACACAGTGAGTTCAGGGCCAGCCTGAACTGCATAGCTAGACACTGTCTCAACCAAAAATAAGCACACACGCACATGTGCACGTACACACTCACACAACCTAAGGAGAAGAATCTACAGTACAAGCAGCATTTTAACTCTTAGTTGTCCACACAAGTGAGAGAAACTATCAATCACATGATCAATCAGTATAGTCCACAGGTCAAGCCTACCTGTATTTTTGGTGTGAATTTTGGTTTTAACTCTGTTTCTTGCTTTCAGATATAAAAACACTGTATCTCTGCCTTAGCACCTTTCCTAGGGTGACTGTGTGAATGAACTCTGCAGTAATTTAAGGAGGATGTGAGCAGAAGGGAGGGAAAAAGGCAGGAGGCACTAAAGGCTCACAGTGTAATGTTTTCTAAAACTCCCAGGGTGAACCAGTAATGTCACAGAGTGTCACAAAATCCTGGCAGTGAACTGTTGTGATTTTGAATTTCTCTTAATAAAATAATGCATTATGCCAGTTCACATGAGATGTACACCCCAGAGAACTCAAATAAGTAAGTTCAGCAGCAAAGACACCCTCATCCTACAGGGGAACACACCATCTACAGAAGGAAAAGAAATCAGGCGAAAATAAATTTCTTAAATTTATTTTCTAAAGTGTGTTGTATCCTTATACCTCAAGGACTTTCTTGCAAAATTTTTCTTTCTTAGCAATTACATCTGGCATATAGCCCAGATATTTAGTGTTTACATCTGGAAGATTGTCTAGTTTGAAGAATGAAGAATCCCCAATAACACTTTTCATGTAGGGTAACATTCATTTCTGAGCACAAGAAGAAGAAAAAAAAAAAAGAAAAAGAAAAAAAAACCCTTTGTAATCTGATTTCACATTTTTCATCCCCAATATAAAATACATTCTCTGGAGAGTGCTAGATTGTTTAAGTAAGGGATGCCGAAGCAGTATAATTACATGGATGTTATTTGTAACGTTGACTCCACATTCGCAGTTCAAACAGTGCAGGGGATTATAGATATATGGCCTATAAAGAGTTATAAATCTTTGCTTATTTTATTAAATATTATGAGACATGCCCCGAGGATGACAGATCAATAATGGTTCTGTGGTTTCCTGATGGAAGGCTGCAATTATTTTCTTCCATTACAACTTAAATGTAACTCAATTTTACTCATCTATCATCTTTATAACAGTAATAAAGGAGCGTCACTGCATGTTTCTTTTCCTACCTATTCATATTATCCCTTGTTTGCATCTTGTTTTGATTTTTGTTCTCACTGAAAATTGTTCCAATCATTTTGGATTCTTCCTTTGGTAGCTCTGACAGTGACCCTTTTAACTTTGGCACTATGAAACGGAGATGGAAAATTACTACCTTAAGCTTCCTTTATTTTGGGAAGCAGTTGGCTACTCTTTGAATTTGAGTTTAAATGATATTTAAAAACAAGGAAGCTTGATACAAACAACCTAAAAGGTTGAATTTTTCTCAAGTTGCATTACCTGCAAATTCTTAATACAAAGTATGACTTATAGTACATAAGCATAAAGCAGTTGGCATTTTAACTCAGGGGAAAAAAGCAGAACTTAACACCTTTTATCAGCCTACAGAACAACTTTGATTCAATCATCTTTCTCTCTACTCTCTGCTCCCTTAAACAACAACCAATCCTTACCCCATCGTTTGAAAAATATTAAATCTTAAAAGTCATTAATAAACTTTATGGAAGGAGGTCACTCAGAACAGGTAGGGAGAAAATCAAAGACCCTTTAGCCATAGAACCGGAAAATGCCCTTTCCAGGACAGAACCCAATTATTTGAATTTGCCATTCTTTAAACAAGTATGCTTTCCAACAGTAGCTAATATTTATATGCCAAGGACTAAATTAGGAGTTTGTATAGCTGTTCTTGCATTGCGCACCATTCTGTGTGAAGGCAGATGAGTTCTGTGCGTGTAAGTAGTGTCCCCATGCCCATCCGTAGAAACAGGAGGGTGCACTCTGACTTTAGTCTCCTTGCATTAAGACATGCTGATTCCCACAGAGCCCAAATGATGATCATCTTTTTGTGCTAGGTACTTCATGTACATTATCCCAAACTTTCACAAAACCATCTGAAGTAACTATCGTTACCTACATGTTACAAGTGAGACCTTATATCTGACTGTTGGATATCTCAGTTACTTTTCAGTAAATTCACTGGATTTTTATACTGTTTATCCCCAAAAAAGAAGGTAAGGGTTTTTTTATCCCCAAATTTTGTTTTTTACAAGGTCTACGTATTGCGGAGCTATTTTCTCAATTTTTCTACTTGAACAATAATGTACTGTGCAAGAATATGTATTAGCATAAAACACTTCAATCAATATTAATTTACATTCACTGATACGTGGATAAAAAAGTTAAACATATTAAAGACAGTAATTGTTGTGGGTGTGTAATCTCATCGTTCTCGGTGTTGGAAGTCAGAGGTAACATTCTTGATTCTGCACTGTGAAAATCAAGAACAAACTCTTACAGAATGACCAGTGTAATCAATAGCACTGGCATTCCACGAATAGGCACCTCGGGTCTGGGATACGTTTCCAGAAACAGCATCATGTGTGGAGAGGAAGCTCTGAAGCACAGATAATTTGTGGGTAAAAGTGATGAGTTCTGGGAATTATCAGATGACTCAAAAGAGTGCTCTCATGATGTCATCAGTATGACATGATGCATATGAAGAATGTTCGCAGACATATTTATGAAATGTGAGGGTCGAAAACCCAATATTTTATGTGGTCATTAATAAACAAGTCAGGCCTGACATACCTGCCAGTCCCCTAGAATATAAAAGGTCCTCCTTCCTGGCACTCTTCACTGCCTGATCCTGGAATAGAAACTCATCTTGCACATGGCAGGGAGCTCATAGAGGGCCCGTTCTTGTGGACATTCTCATACACAGAGAACAGGTAGGAGCTTGGGTGCACACGCACTGCACAGCATTCTTACACTGTCCGTGCAGCACACAAGAGCTCCTCCAAACATGCATTAGAGATGCTACTAACAAAACTGCAAGCTGTGTGTCTAGTCACCAAACCTGGTGCCAAAATAAAAACTCAATTCCAAAAAATTATTAGAAGGGTCATCTCATGTCTAACCAAGTTAATCTGCCAAGACAAAATACATCTTAAGAGACTTTCCAAACTGGTTCAATCTTGTAAATCATTCTGTTTTTGTGTGATGAATGGCTCTTGTTGCCTCCATTTTAAAATAGAGCTGGGAAATTATATGCTGGTTATTGGATCACTGAGGTCTTTCTGTGGACTGGGTACAAAAAAAAGAAAAACACCGAAGTGTGTAGTCTTGGTCTCAGAAAAATGTTGACCTTTAGTAACCAAAGATAAACAGACAAATAAATGAAGGAAAGGTATTTGTCTTCATGGAATTTGGCCAGCACAAAAGTTGGCTTTCCTTGTAAGAAGACTGCTGGCAACTTCCATCTTGTTTCCCACAAGAATTTTGGTGATGGAAGTGATAATGGTTTCAGGTGTGGTCAGTGCATTTTGGGCACTTTTCCTGGGTGATAAAACTGGCCTGAATTTCATTGGATATGCTGCCTCTTTGTTCCTGTTGGAACACTAAAAATGTCAAAGGGTTAGAACAAAGTTCAGATAGAGTTTGAGAATTTCTAGACTCCATAAGTACTTTTATATCTGGGGCTGAACTGTAAAAAGTAAAATAATGAGATAAGATACCAATATGGCCTGTGAAGTCAAGTCTTTAATTAACAAAAACACAAAAATTTTAAATAGCAGCATCATGTTCTCTAGAAGTTCTGTAGGAGCCCCTAATGGACTCCTTCAAAACTTGTGTTTCTGAAACAGCTTACTGGATGCAGGAAAAGTGTTTTCTCAGAAATGTTGTTACTATTATGACACTTTTATTTCCTAATCCCATGTTTGTAAAGTCCCTTGTGTCCTTTCATTCTTTTGTACTTTCTAGTAAAGCAAAGGGACAGCCTCATGAGGAAATCCATTCTTTCTTAGAGTATATAAGGTATATTAAGCAAGCACAGGGAAAGTAAGTCTTTATTGGGATATATGTGTATGTATGTTTTTAATGTTCCTACATTTTGAAGGGGAAAGGAAAGAAATTTTGTCTTCAATTCACCAAAATATGAACTGACTTTCTTAGACGTACTTTCCTAAACTTCATTAAAAAAAAAAAAGTTAAAGAGAGTGAGTTTCTCTGGAGAGAAGTATCCCAGACACGGCAACAAAGTCAACCAAGTGCTTCTGAATTCATGCGCTCTTGGTACCTTTTAGCAAAGTTATGTATTCTCTAATCAAGGATATTTAATGTTATTCCTGCTTAGAATTGTAATGTTTCTTTCCTACATTCAAAACTGCTAGGGCACATGAGACACACATATCCAAAGTTACACTGTCCTTGGAAAAGCTGTATTATTTGCTTATTCATGACTGATAGTGGTCATTACGTTAGGAGGCATAGCCAGACCTGCGTGTGCAAATCTGCTCACTACAAGAATGCCGATGGCCACCATGGACCTCCAGACTCGTGTTCCTCCTCTGGCACCAAATGACCAGCAGAAAAAATCTGGGTACAGATGATAGATTTTACTATATTTAAATCAAAACACAAAGAAATTTCCCTAACACTTCCTTTGAAAATACTGTTTCATATAAGTAAAAATACTCATCAATAAAAATGTGTTACAGACATGCAAATCCAAATTGTAAAAATAGTTTTTCTTTTAGCTACTTTAACTTCTTAAAATATGATTTCAATTATAAATGAACTTTCAACTTCTTATATCCTCTGGAAAGAACATGCAGATATTTTGAATAAAGACCATTTACCAGGCACAGAAAAGCCCCCGCTACCCTTTTCTAAACTCGTCCTTATTCTACTTTGTACCTCAAAGCCTGTAAGCGAAGAACCTATGTGACTTACCCTGTTAAAGCAGTACTCGTGGTTTGGTCCATAGAAATGCTGGAGACATTTCACGTTGTTTTTGTTGACGATCTTGTTGAAGAATTCGTTGACATACTTGACAGGGAATGCACAGACAGCAGATCCATCCATTGGTTCAGCAGAGTCTGGCTTGCTTTGCGCAAACACCCCGTACAGAATGTCGTCATTCACACTGACTCTGATTTGCTTGGCGAGGTGGGCCCCAGGCTTACCAACATATGCAGCCTGAAGGATATTAAACACTTCCTGCCCTGCGGATCTTTTTCTTCTCTTTTCCGTGAGAATGCACTCCAGAGGCATTTCCATGTAAGAATGCAACCCGGAGTCCACGGAACAGAACCTGATTATTCTTGTGTGAAAAGTCTGAGCATCTAGAGTCTCCTTCTGGACTGTTAGAAAGTAAATGAAATGGCTGCTTTCAAAGGCATGGACATACTTAATGGGGTAAGAATCTCGGAACTCAGGCAGAACATCAATGTAAGACTGATCTGTCAAAAACTTAAAGCCGTCTTGTGTTTCCTTCAGCCTTCTCACTGATATCGAATGCAGTGAGTGATCTGGCACGTAGGAAGAATGTAAGGTATTGCCCACAAAGAAGTTGACAAACCGATTCTTCTCAGACAGGAGGACTCTGGCTCCCAGCGCACTCACCACGCAGTCAGGACACTGGCCGGTCTCTTCGTCCGCCTGTGGGGAGAACATGCAATGGAACTTCGACTGTGTGTCCCCGGTGTCACCAGGTGGGAGGAGGAGTCGCTGGCAGGTCCCTCTGTTGACACTGCCACAACTAATGAGCTGGTCATCGTAGTATGTGTCAACAAGCAGAGCCATGTTGATGTTATCTCTCCACATGGCTCCCGGTAAGTTGGCTTTGCGGCTGCAGTCCTGACAAGGAGGGCAATCTGGGTGTTCCAGCACAGGTCCAGTCTTGTACTCAGCTACCTTCCGCAGGTCTTTGTCATTTAGAACGTAGAGGTAGTTAGTGGCCCCCAGGTAAATGTGATGCCTGTGCAGAACGACGTGCTGGATGGGTGTTTCTGCGGTGAAGTTGGGAAGCTGATACTGCATGTCCATGTTCATCTCAGACTTCACCAGCGCCTCTTTACACTCCCCATCACTCCTCTGCACCAAGGCAAGCAGCAGCACAAGGACACCAAGCGTGAGCGCAGCAGGGACCTTCATTGCAAGCAGCTGATCTGCCAAAACACGTTCAAGGCAAGAGCCGTTCAGTCGTCATTCGAAACAAACAAGAAAACACTGAAGAACTGCCCCAGCTAAACTATCAGGGAGAACCTCCGCAGTGGAATTTTTACATAGAATGAAAACAAAAACCTCTGGCTGGTAGCGCATAAAGACGCATTGTATGGCCGCACATGACTCCACATGCTTTATTTTTAGAAGTCAAGCTATGAACAATTAATTTTGGGGAATCATTATGAGATGCAAACAATGTTCTGTATTAAGGTCCACACAGTAACTGAGGCTCACTCAGCAATGAAATAAGAAACACAGCACAGTTCCGTGTTAACTCCTTACTGGTTGTTTCATGTGGTTTCGTATCTGTGGCTAATGATGGGGTTGATATTTAAACTTTCTTAGTCAAGTAAAGGAACTGTGGTTCAGATTCATTTATTCTAAAATTCATAGCAGGCATTGTTTCCTTGGGAGCATGTAGAATTACTAGGCTAAATTTAGCTTCCTTTTGGAAGAAAACAATCATAAATTCTAGAGGCAATATGATCACATGCTGTTTATAAGATTTTGTGTGCAGAGGAAAGGTATGGTTATAATTTGGCTATAGTTAACCTATTGTTTCAGGCAGACGAATGCTTAATGTAATATCACTGCGACTTAAAAGCAGCAGGCTGAAAAAAGCATAAAATAAAATATAATCTTTAGAACTAAAGTCCTAAGACTATTTCTTAGAGGAAAATGACATATTGTTCATTACCAAGTCAAAAAACTATTTAGTCAAAAGAACATTATTTCCATGGTAAGCACATGGACAGTGTTTCCCAGAGACCATGCTTGGATTTGTTATTCCCTTTTTGAAAACTTAAGGTTCACAAATTCTAAACATGTGAGTTCTACTTACAACAGCTATGGGCAGGGTAGTAAGTTGGAAAGGAGAGACCTTAGGTATTACTAAGTACTACAGGTATTACTTTTTGAAGAGAGTCATTCTGACAACACAAAGAGAGTCTCTGCAAGCACAGTGGGCATTATATGCCTGCCAAAGGCAAACACAGGTCTACAAAGCCACAGAAGAATTCTCTGAGCAACTATGATGTGCCTGGCTCTGTGTGTGCAGTACGGGAAACGGGACAGGGCTCTCGCCCTTCAGTGAACGTAAAAAGCAGTCAAGCGCTAACGGCAATACACTGACAACTCGACCGCACAGCAATGTCACACAAACCAAAAGCTACAAGCAGTGAGAAAGAGAGAAACAGCCTGCATTTGTGATAGAAATCATGAGAAACAGGGACAAGTTTATTATGTGGTGAGATCCAGGACAGCAAGGACCAGGTGCGGCTTACTGCTGAATCCCAACTACCTGGTAGGCAGTCTGGAACGCAGCTGGTTTTAAACAAATATATAGTGAATGGGCAAATAAAAATTAAGCACTAAGTTCAAAATCACTTAACAGGTTGCAGTTGGTGGACAAAACTTGAAAACATCTTTCTGACTCCAAAATATTCTCTGAAAGCTCTAAGAACTGGGGGCTTAATTAGAGACAACAGAAAGTCACTGAGGGAGTCTGAGCTTCCTATCACCCAGGTTTTAGCGTAGGAAGACTGATCTGGAGACAATGGACTTCCAGCAGGGAGAACCTGATAATGACCACATCAGTTGATCAGCTATTACTGTAGCCTATAATGAAGTAATAAGGGCTGGAAGCAAAACTGTGACCCCAAGGACAGAAGAGAGGCACATCTAAGTAAGATTTGATCTCAAATTGAGAAGAATACAAAGGGGAAGACAGATGTGTCTGGCAGTCATCTGGGCAAAAGGGGAGCAAGTCACAAAACCAGGGTCACCAGCAGCAGGAAGAGAGGCTAAGACACTGGGTTTACACATAATGAGTTAGTGGGGAAGGAGTGACTGTTCCACAACAGGAATGACTAGTAGGTTTCATGTTGTTTATCAGGAAGTAACGTCTGGAATAAGTAGAATGACAGTTCTGAGCAGAAAGAGCATACTGCCAGGAATGCAGATGAAGAGTGAGAGGCATTCAAGAAAAGCTGCCTTTTCTGGCAAAGCGGGATGAGTGATCGGTGAGACGGCTGTTCTGGGAGACAGTGGCCGGTGGAAGCATGAGCGCCGGGTATCTATCTGCCACTGCTACACTGCAAGCGGTGAAAATTGAGTGTTGGTGGAGAAATTTGGGTGCTAGCTGGAGCAGAAATAAACTGCACACATCTGCCTGGAAGTGACGGTTAAAAGCCTGAGTGGGTATGTTCATGGAGGGACTAGGTGAAAGAGATGACAGTGAAAGGACCCAATCTTGGGGAATATCTCATATTAGTAGAAAGTGTCAAGGAAGATTAAGGTCACAGAGATCCTGAAAGCTAATACCACACAGTGTCACAGAAGCCAGACAAGAGTCTCAAGAAGAGAACGTAGTTCTTGTGAAAGCTTTCTGTTGGCCTTCAAAATAGTTTTGCTTGGGGCACATGCCTGTTGGAATCTGTTACTCGGCAGTCTGGAGCAGGAGCACTGCCTCGCGTGAGTTTGGGGCCAGCCTGAGTAACACAGTGGTCCAAGCCCAACCTGTCTCAAGGGTTGAGACCATAATGAGACCCTGTCCCAAACAAACTAGCTAACTAAAACCCCAAAAAGAGAACACAGTTTTAATGGTGGTGTCAGACCTTAAAATGCAAGGTATGTTGAGGAGAAAGCAGAGTGTTTGTTAAGGGAAGAATAGCCATAAGGCAAGCAACAGAGCTTAGGGAAGTTTATTCTTAAATTGTAGTAAAGACAGGTTTCTTTGTAGGGCCTCGCTTCTTTCACTTACATCGACTCAGTGTCTACAGACAGGGAACCCGCCCCTGGGAAGCTCAGAGTCAGTCGGGGGAGCAATGGGTTAACCACAGACGCAGAGCCGTGTTTACAGCTGAAGATTCAAAACAGCTGCGTCTTAGAAGTGGCTTGTATGGCCGCCAACAGATAGAGTGGACAAAGATAACGTGGTCTTCACACACACTGGAGCAGTACTCTGCTATGAAGATAGACTCGAGTCATTCGCAGGAAAATGGATGCACCTAACGTCAAGTACAATAACTCACACAACACAAGCTTCAGCAACGCGCAGCTTCTCTTATATGAAAAACCCAAAGTATACACACGGAGCAAAACAGTAGGAACAGGAAGACCGATCTTCTGCAAGAGGAAAGGGGACCAGGAGAAGCGGGGAGGGGACAAAAAGAATTAAGAAGAGTATGCACATGTGCTATGTGCATGTACCATTATGCACAAGGCATGTACACACTGTCTTCTGCAAACACGTACTAAGAAAAAATTAATGAAAGATGCAGCTATAGGAAGGCAGTGGAGAGGTAATCAGCGAGACTGGCAAGAGTCTCTAAGAGGAATGGAAATTCGTGGCAGGCAAAGCAGCTGTGCCAAGGCATAGAGGGAGTGGAGAGACATGGCATGGGGCGGCGAGTAACGTGGAGTTGGGCCTGGGGAAGCGGAATCCAAGAGGCCAAGTGGGGAGGAAATTGTTGATGCAATATGCCAAGCAGCAAAGGAAGCTTTTCCAAGATCCCTGAAACGTAAGACAGCTCACGCCCTCTGAGACAGCAGCAGGGACAGAAGTCAAGAAAATAGAGGGCCACTGAGGAAATTCAGGACTATGATCTCGTCCTAAAATTAACTTAGGTGCACGATCATTTGCTGAAAGTGACACGGAGGAAGGACGAGGGACTTCAGGTGGAATAACCACAGCAGGACAACAAACTCAGGTAGGAGAATGACTAGAAGGACAGCTCTGAGGGCTCCTGTTAAGTTCAGGGCTGCTCTGAGATACCACGTTTAGACTCCCTCCTCACATTCATGGAAGATAAAGAGATACAGGGAAGACAGCCAAGGACACACAACCATCTTCAGAGTCCAAGTAAAGGCAATAGGCTTTGAAGAAATAAGCGGAAGTAGAAAACTGCAGTTGGGCCGGAGAGCAAAGCGAAGTTTTAGTAAGGTGAGGAACTGTAAGGGTATCTACCACACATTAATAACAATAATACATACTGAGTCCTTACCCATGCCAGACGTTCTGCTAAGCCCTTGGATTTAGTTTCATAAACACCCTGTGAACAAGGAAGCAGCACTGCCCTCCTCTTCCGGATCAGCACACTTGTCAGAAGACCCAGTTAGAACCAGGATTCAATTCCATGCCCCGAAGGCAGGAATCCATCCACATTTATAAATTCTTTTCTCACCCTGAAGCAGCTCCCTGAGAGCTGAAGGAACTTGTACTGGGCTAGAAGTTAAGACAGTCAGACCGCTGATGCTGGCCCTTCCTCATCTAGCTCTCTGGCTTCCAGCCATTGATCCACCTCAGCATCCCTGGGTCCAAAATTCTCACGTGACTGCTTTTGAATATCAAAAAGAGATCTCATCCCTAAGAACACTTTGACTGCTACAGGGCATGTAATAAATGTACAGAGTGGTACTTACTATTTTTATATGTAATTCTCATTGTTCTGAAATGTACTAAAAAACATTTGATGTCAGTGAGGAGAAACAAGGAGTAGAAGAAAAGGATTAGAGACGAATTGTTCCACCAGTCCAGAGCATATTATGTAAAGAAATTACATGTTCTTCTCAATATGGTGACCCTTGTATCTTCAAACTTGGGAACATTAGCCTAACAAATAATTTATTACTGTATTTTCTCTAGAAAATATAATAAAATAAGGAAAGAAGGGAGCCATTGTTACTGATAGAAAAAAACATTACACACAGTTTGCATTTTAGCGATGCCCATTAATATGGTACAGAATGTGAATGCTTTTCTTTTGTTCCTTCTAGGCTTTTTGAAGGAGTCTTCAAAATGAACTTACTTGTACTAAACACTGAATTATATTTTTAAAATGTTTCATATCTTAAGGTTGATATATATATAAGTCATTCACTACTAAACCTCAGCTAGCTAAAATCTAAGAAATGTACACACGAGCATTGTGTTATCTTCCTA